TATTTAAATATTTCAATTTAAACTCTGAAAATGATCATAAAATCAAAGAAAATACCTGAAAAATAAATTCATTAAAAACATGTAAAATTTCACTCTATTACATAATATACAAATTGATTTTCATATTTTGCATATGTTCTGTACACTGTACAAATAAAGCTACTGCGTGTCGTTGCTATGTCTAAATGGTGTGTTTTGTTGTTTATTGTACATTCATTTGAAAGCAATGAATGGACTTAGAGTAGAATATTGCTTATCATTACTATAGACTTAGCTTGAAGTAAATCAGAGAAACAGAAAATACATTTCCACTTTATAACCAGTTATGCATCCCACCACAGAGGAACCATTGACCATGGGGGCACATATTTCAAAATTCTGGAAATTTTATTTCATCAAAAATGGCTGATTAATACAAAAAAGCAGATTTCAAAGCATAAATTTATTTTCAGGCTATGTAACCCCCACCCCAACCCAATTACCCTGACCCAGGGGCCCTGAAATTAACACTTTTTGAAGAGGCACCTTTCATAATAATTTTTATATACATTTACTTAGAACATTGGCATAATATCCAGGAGCAAAGGGGTTTTCGAAGAAGGATATGGAAATAACGAACAGTATTCAATCTCAACGTCCATTAAACAAATATACAAATAAGAGCAAAGCAAACACGGTTCTCCGAAACATCAGAGGTGGGATCAGGTGCCATGGAGGAGTGAGCATCCCCTGCCGACCGGTCACACCCGTCGTGTGCTCGTTGTCATAATCAGGAAATAACGGAAAAAATCCGTGGTCAATTCAGTGTATACATAATGGACTAACAATTGGTATGAAAATCGTCAGTCAGCATTTTATTCAATGATAAATTGTATTTGCTGACAAGGTCATTGTATCGACCATAGAATTTACGAAATGATGACTTTAAACGAGACTGTTGATATTCTTGTTTCACCAACTTGCTTGTCAATAATTTACCTCGTTTAAGAAATTGTTCATACGTAGAGCATGCTCTTGCATATCGAATCAACTGAGATATATATACTCCGTATGCAGGTGATGAAGGTATATTGCTGCATAAGTAAGGGAAGTTGACGATAGAAAAGTTAAAGTCATCACGTTTATCATATAATTCATGCATTTTCACTATTTAATCATTAGAGCCCCGCCCTGACACCAAAACCCTGATCTTGGGGCTCTGAAATTCACAAATCTGGAAGAGGCATCCTTCCTCATCATAACTATGTACATGTACATAAGTACTATGTACATGTAGTTCATTGGTTTAACACTCAGGAGCAGAGAATATAATCAATAGAGTCCCATCCTAACACCAAAACCCCTGACCCAGAGGCCATGAAATTCATAATTTAGTCCCGTCCTAACACGAGAATCTCTGACCCAAAGGCCATGAAATTCATAATTTTTGGAAGAGGCACCCTTATTCAAGATGCATAACTATATATTTGGTTTGTTTATTAAATACCCAGGAACCCCATGGGGATCCGGGTTAGAATACTAGTAGTTCCTCTGTTGAATCAGTTCCCCTTGCTTGTCGTAAAAGGCGACTAAATGGGGCGGTCCTTTGGATGAGACCGTATAAACCGAGGCCCCGTGCCACAGCCCGTGTGGCACGATGAAGATCCCTCCCTGCTCAAAGTCCCTGAGTGCCGAGCATAGGCCTAAATTTGCAGCCCTTGTCTCCATATCAGTGAAATATTCTGGAGAGGGACATTAAACAGTATACAATCATTCAATCATAAATACCCAGGAGTAAAGAAGATTTTCGAAGAAATAATGCATTTTCACTATGTAATCTATTTAGCCCCGCCCTAGCACCTAAGAACCCCTGACCCTAGGGCCATGAATTTCATAATTTTGGAAGAGGCAGCCTTATTCAACATAACTATGTACTTATTCAGTTTATTTTTTGCCCAGGAGCAGAGAAGATTTTTGAAGAAATATAATGTATTTTTACTATATAATCTATTTAGCCCTGCCCTTACACTAGACCCCTGACCCTAAGGCCATGAATTTCATAATTTTGGTAGAGGACTCAAAGCTTAATACAATCATGCAAATAATTTGACTGCTTGATGACTAGGAGTAAAGAAGAAGATTTTTAAAGATTGCATTAATTTTTTTTGGTTTTGGCCCCACCCCTCCAGCCCCAAAGGGACAGGGACCATAAAATTCACAATTTTTGTTCCCCTTCACCTGTAGATGCTGTATACTAAAGAAGATGGGCGCATTCGGCGGGTGATCTGCAGGAATCATTTGTACGAAACATTTATGGTTTAAATGTCCATGATTTGGTTGGCTGAACATACCTGGTCAGATTTTACAAACACTTTTATGTTTTTTTCATTTAGTTCGAGAGACATTGTGAAATTTTAACATTTATGTCCATTTTTTTCTAGAGGACACTATAACATAGTAATATTTCATAAAAAATAAAACCTAAAATATTTAATGCATAGATGCATGATACGTGTACATGTACATAATAAAATAGAAAATTAGAATTGATTTCGTTTGAGAACCAAACTGAACCAAAATTTATCTAATTCAAAATTTTAATACATCAGTACATAAAACGACGAAACTAACAAAATGCATAGTTGGTTGCCTGAATAAAAAAAAAATTAACGCCCCATGCCAGACTCGAACCAAAAACTTTTCGCTTCGAGTGCACTGAACACGTAGCCTAATTTTCTGAGCTATCATCGCTACACATGTACAAATGTCTTTAAAAGGACTAAGACGCACGACATTGACACATTTCGATTTTGGGGGGAAAAGTTCATTTTTCGTGGTCTCTGGGTCTTCTCTCCCTTTTTTTAAAAAAGTGTAATCGTTTCTTTGAATTAAATACACACAAATAACGTTTCAAAATCATGGAGAGAAGACCCAGACATAGAAATGTTTTTAAAAATGTGTTTCAAAATGTACAATTCTGTACCAAATCTCTGACATGTCCAATTTTGAAGTTATTTTTCAGCAAATCAAAGCTCAATTTCGGGAAAATATTTTCTGTTCATGTTGCACAGGAACCTGATAAATTAAAAAAAAATGTTAAAATTTCATGTGACAAGTCAATAAGATTTTCATTTTTCAATTACACCCAGGTACCTGCCGAATGCCAATCAAAAGCGCCCTCGTTCTTTGGCTGAAATCGCCTGAGAAGAAGCTACAAATTTTCCAAAGTTTACGACCGACGTTTGACGGACAAAAAAAGAGATAGCAATAGGTCATCTGAGTTTACTCAGGTGACCTAAAAATTGATGCCTGGATTGATATACATATACATGTATATTTTTCCTCATTTCGTTGCAAAAGATGCAAAAACATGACATAAGGTATTATTTTCAATATTTTTCAAAAAAGTTTGTTCATCCTCCCTTAAAAGCATTTGTCACAAAAACCCAACGTTCAAATACACTGTATGAATATGTTTACAAAATAAAACATTTTGGTACTAGAATATTGTGTTCTATATGCATGTTTTAAAACCATTTTCACAGACGCAAATAATTGTTTCTTGAAAAGATTTTTCAAAGGAATTTCGATGTAAAATTTGGATGCCTTACCCTTGGTTGGTCATAGTTTTAACAATATAAAATCTACACTTTATTAAGAGGCTTCCACACAAGTTTAAAACTTTCATGTCCAGAAGTTCTTTTAGATTTTTAATGCCCTCATTGTCCTAATTATGTTGCCTTGAAAGAGAACTTGACATCATTTGTGCAATTTAAAAATTTCCAAATACCCTAGGATGCTTTGTTTGCACTAGCATGCAGGAGGCTGAACAATGGGTGATTAGCAGCTTATCTTAGCTGAACTGAAGGAGATTGAAAGTGGGGTGAGGGGGGACTAAGCCCTAATATCCAATATCTTTGCAAAAAAATGGAGGAGGGGTTAATCCTCACTTTTCACGTCACACCTAACCCACCCCACACCAGATCGGATGCCTTTGCATCTATAGTATGTTTTTATGCGCCAGGATCGAAAGATCTTTAACCTTCGACATATCTTTTGAACCATGAATGACAGAGACTTCATATTTGGTATGCCTACTCCACTAATGAAGCTCTTTCGAATGACACCAAGGTCAATGTCCTTGTGACCTTGACTGTAACCTATATACTAAAAAGAGTTTTTTTTGCAAAATTTAACCTTTGCCTTAACTTTTGAACCATAAAAGATAGAGACTTGATATTTGGCATGCATACTCCACTAATGAAGCCCTTTCACATGACACCAAGGTCAATGACCTTGTGACCTTGACTGTGTCTTATATGCTAAAAATACCTTTTCTGAACCTTCACAATAACTTTACCCCGTGGGGATCCGGGTCAGAATAGGTCCTCAGTACCCCCTTGCTTGTCGTAAAAGGCAACTAAATGGGGCGGTCCTTCGGATGAGACCTTATAAACTGAGGCCCATGTCACAACAGGTGTGGCATGATCAAGATCCCTCCCTATTCAAAGGCTGTAAGTGCCGAGCATAGGCCTAAATTTGCAGCCCTTCACCAGCGATGGTGACGTCTCCATGTCAGTGAAATATTCTGGAAGGACGTTCAACAGTCAACAATCAATTACCATAACTTATGAACCATAAGGGATAGAGACTTCATATTTGTAAGCATTCTTCACTAATCAAGATTTTTCTACTAACAATGATCAATGACCTTGTGATCTTGACTGTGTCTTGTATGTTAAATATAGCTTTTTTGAACCTTCATCATTACTTTTGAACCATGAAAGATAGAGACTTCATATTTGGTATGCATACTTCACTAATCAAGATCTTTCAAATGACATCAAGATCAATGAACTTGTGACCATCACTGCGACCTTTATGCTAAAAATATGGTGTTTTTTAAAAAATTTGTTGCCGCTGGGCGCATAGTGTTTCACAAACGGCATCTTGTTTTTTCCAATCTTTTGCATCATCAAAAAAGGAAGAAGCCCCTCCTTGAAGATAAATATTTTATTTGTTTAATTACAGACAATGAACTACTAACACAAAACGCTGCTGCCATGCAATTTAAGAACAATGACATTGACAAATGTAAAATAAAGAAAGATTTACTATGTATTTCAATCTATAAAATAAAATTTGAAGAAATTCAACATTTCAGTGGACTTAATAAACATCTGAAAAATAAAAAAAAAAAACTGAAATATTTCACACTGAAAGCTTGAATTTACAACAGTTTGGGCACAAAATTTCCTAAGACTTCTAATACGCATCATGACAAACTCTCTATGTAAATCTCTGAGACACACAATATAACAATGGTGACACAGTCTTCTATTCACACTGATGAATCTTCTTCAGCTGCTGTTCTATAGACTCTACAGTTGATTTCACTCTAACATCACACACTAGATCTGCGGCATGTTAACCAGAGCTCTCCTGACCACATTTCACTTTAACATCACACACTAGATCTGCAGCACGCTAACCAGAGCTCTCTCATGAACACAGTCTTGGAACACATTTCAGATGAGGGTCGAGACAACGGATCAAAACACAGAATGATGAATCTAATAACCAAACTCTGAAAAATAAAAACCCATCATTTTAGTATATTCTTACATAATATTATATTTTCCTTTCTGTAAGTTTATAATTAAATGCAGCAATAATTCATTCCACATAACCAGAAATCTGGTTGGTTAGATTGGTTTACACATAGATTAAGTCAAATGTAGTTATCACCTCTTAATATAGTGTGTCATGACTTGTTGGATAAATGTCTTACTCAATGTGTTATAAATTATACAAATGACTTCACAATTGTGTTTTTGATTTTTTAAGTGACTTGAATATTCTTGTTATATATTAAATAACTTACACAATGCATCAAATGGGAGGGTCCTCGAGATATTTAGTGTGTCCTTCAGCATTAAATCACGTAATGCCCATAATGCATTGGACACGTTGCCATGGTAACCTGCTCCCTCAGCCAGCCAATGGGAGGGCAGACGATTTGGATCGGTGTTTGTGTTTTCTGCAGTAGCAGTGAGATTCTTGTCCCAGTCACTGACAAACGGTTTATCTGCACGTAACCCTTCTATATACCTGTAAGTACAGTAATAGGCAAATGTTTATAGAATACACCTGTTAATACAGTAATAGGTAAATGTTTATAGAATACACCTGTTAATACAGTAATAGGCAAATGTTTAAAGTACACCTGTTAATACAGTAATAGGCAAATGTTTATATAATACACCTGTTAATACAGTAATAGGTAAATGTTTATAGAATACACCTGTTAATACAGTAATAGGTAAATGTTTATATAATACACCTGTAAATACAGTAATAGGTAAATGTTTATATAATACACCTGTAAGTACGGTAAAAGGTAAGTGCTTTACATACAACAACTAAATGTTTCCCATTTTTCCTACCAAGATGGCCTCATCTAACCACCGAGTGCCAAAAAATTTTAAGAAACTGAATGAAGCTGGTAGAGAAAGTGGTGGTGGGGGGGGTAACACATACCTGAGATAGGCCTCTGAATGAAGCAGCCGTTGTGTCCGGGGTGGTACACTGACAAACATCGGGGATGGGGGTCGTGGTGGAGGGGGTGGTGGGGGAGGTGGCGCCATCTGTTGTCCTGTAAAAGTGAAAGTAACAGTAAGTGTGGCGCCATCTGTTGTCCAGTAAAAGTGAGTCATTTATGTTAAATGTTCCAAACATGGAATTTATTAAATAACAATAAAAGCATTTTGAACAAACAGATTTATTATTTTCTATAAAGCTATCAATAAAACTTTCATTCAATTTACATTTTATGCAAGTAGTAAATTAACAAAGAGTTATTTACTGATCTTCCACATCATTAAATAACAATGTACATCAATTGAACGCCATTCGATTCATCGCCATTTTCGCAATACCGCCATGATTTCCCAAGAACGTTTTTCCTGCTATATAAAATTCTCTTTATAACGCCAAACTCGCATACCGCCATCCGCCACCCTGTTTTAAAAACAAATGTCCATTTTTAAGTGTCAGTTATCTCGATATACCGCCACAGGTGCGTGCGGTCAGTAGAGCGGCTAATTGGTTGACGCTATCCCTGTTGTAAAGCATGCAAAGCCAGACAAGGTATAAGCAATTAAATAATTAAATTAGAATTAAATGAACAAATAATTTTAATATGAACTGTTACAATGATGTTGTTCTGTTGTTTTGTTTAAAAAATCAATTAAAATAAATTAGTCACGGCTTCGCCACTAAAGGGGTAGAACTTTGTGAAAGTACGCCGAATACAATATTATTTTGATGATCTCTGCTTAAAGCAATGCAAATTTTGCCTAAAAATAATCATACGGTATAAATTGTGAACGTTTCACTAACAATGATGCCATAAACAATAAATTTATTCAAGAAACCATTTTACGTACTGTCAGCAATATATCACGATGATCAACTTAGCATGTTTTTTTTTCAATATCAGACGTGCCGATTTACATGTACATAGATGCACATGTACATGTACTTGTCTTTATTTCATAACTGCACTTTTTTTTTTTAAAAAAGAAACTGTAGATAAAAAATTACTTGAAGTATTTCAAAATTTAGAAATATGGTTTATATATACATGTACATGTAATTATAAGAATAGAAAAACTAAGAACGGTAACTCTACTTCTTGTTTCCTAAAAGGTGGGAAATTCAATTCATTGCCAAATTCGTTATACCGCCATGATTTGTAAATCACAAAAGGTGGCGGTTTATCGAGAATTAACTGTATTAAACATTCTTTAGTTGAAACGGTTTAAATTGAGGCAAAATTTACAACTCTTGAGCACTTTATTATGAAATACCAATAAGTACAATACTTTATGTGCATATCAAACAAAAAAATAAATGTATACACATGTGGAGAGAGTGAAGTTAAAGGAACAAGCAGAATTTAATGATGAGTGCCGGGGTAAATAAATAGTACAGATACACTCAGGGATAGTGAAGAACAGTTTCTTATTAGTAAAAAATCAAAAATAGATAAACATTACACTAAGAACCATGCTAGTTAAGGATGAGAACCAACCCATGTATAAAGCCAGGTCATCTTAAGGGGGTATAAACCTCTATAAAGACAGATAACTCTTACAAGGATAAGTCAAAGAGAGATAACTCTTTACAATGAAATATCCATGATTTCTTTCTTTTTTTTTTCCAGAAATTCTCAAAGTCTTCTATGATACCCTAACTTAGGTGAATTTTACCGCTGGTTTTGTTTAAGAAACCTCTCTACACTGCACACTAAAGAGTTCTGATTCTAAGGTATTTTTCTGCAGTTAGAGTGATCTGCCCTTAGAACTAAATTCTAAAAATATACATTTACACAATATTACTCAATTTGTAATCAATTCAAGTATTCTCAACATTTTAAAAGGCCAGGATAAATTAACTGAACATGTTATTTACATGTATTTTCTCTATTGAAGTAATTAACAGCGATATCTATTCACTGATACTGTGTTGTCTGTAACATTTTTCCTATATTAATAAAAATAGATAAGCACAATATTAGCTCTTTTATGCAATTAATTTTTTTCAATGTCCAAAAAATATTGAGAACTGGTGTAGAGAGGGTCCTTAATATCTATTAAAATTATACTGGAAAAAAATATCACAAGGGAACAGAGGCGCATTCATAATGGAGAGTTTTAAAATTAAACTCGCACCCCCAAAACATGACATTTACAGCTTAATTTTCATGGATGGTTCAAGTTAATGATAGAAAATAAGCAATAAAATAAAAAGAATCTAGCTTAGAAGAAATGAGAGTTTCTAGCGGACATCAGTCATACAAAGAGCTGGTTAAATACCGTCTCACCTAAGAATCGTTTTGGCTTGTATCACACTAACAAGATTGTCTGTATATTTACATTGAAATTCATACAGAAATGAATCTTAAATACTATGAAGTATCACAAATTAAGTTATTGTAATGAATGGAAAGTTCTCAAGGAACTTTACAGAGCTCTCTTCAAGGATTTTTGTCATCAAAGTACACCATTCATGTAATACAAATGTTCTATATTAAAAAAATAAGATATATTTCTCATATTGTTCTTTTTCTAAATCCTTAATTTAATTCCCATTTTTTAAAATCAATCAGCAACATTAAATGCTTTATAATTTCTTTAAAAAAATGTAATTAACATGGTCAGAAGTTTGATTTCTGTGGATACGAAGTTTAATTTCAATGGAAAATAATAACTTTGACCAGACACTACATTTATTTATATATTGATTTTATTACTTTATAAGTAAATGGCTTAGCAGAAATTCGATTGTGTATGCAGAGATTTTCTAAAGCTGACTTTACTTGACCAAAGCCTAACACATCTGACTTTTAATTGATTAGATATAGTCTAATAAATCTGAGATTACTCAATCAAAGATAGCACAATATTAAAATCTAATTTTAATTTGATCAGAGATAGCCTAATAAATCCCAACTTTTATTTGCCTAGAGATAGCCTACAAAATCTGACTTTTATTTTATCAGAGATAGCCTAACAAATCTGATTTTATTTGCCAATTTAGTCTAATAAATCTGACTTGATCAGAAGAAGAGTAGCACTACCTGCTTCTATTGGGGGGTAAAACTCCAGTGAAGGTGGAGTGGATACAGTAGCCCCCGGCGATGCCGAGTTAAATGGTCGACGAAGCATTTCCTGTAGCGCTGAAAGTCCAGAAGCAGAGAGAAGAGAAGGAGGTGAGTTGCTATAGCGACACATGTTAGGAGGGGCCGCCCCGCCCCCCAAGTTAGGGGGTCGGGGGGTCATGTTGTAGGGAGACATACTACCCTGTGGGGTGACATGACCGGGCAGCATGCTGGTTGGTGGGGTGGGGGGATATCCTCCCGCCATTGGCCTCATCCCTGCTGGGGTGACTCCCCCGTGATAGGGGGGCATGTATGGTCGCCCTGGTGACATGCCGGCGTGGTGTGGTAGCCTAGGTGCCCCTGATGGAAGACCTTTGTTAACAAAGCCACAAAATAAAAAGAAACAAAAATAACATACAGCGTCATGCATGTGAAACCCAACTCATAAAAACAAAAACATAAATTATATAAAAATCTATACATGACTGAATTAGTAGAGGTAGATCTATTCCATATAGCAAAAAAAAAAATTATCCAGATGATAGAAATTTCAACTAATTTGACAGATTTTTTTTTTCTTTAAATCCTGAATGGTCTAATTGAAAATTCTTTTTCTTCATTTGGAACAAGTAAAAACTTTCAAATTTGATAATTCATGAAATTATGAAATAAAGGAAACAAATGAGTTAAATACTACATCTTTACAAGACACATGCAAACATTCATTCAAAAAAAAGAAAGATGCATCATGGGAAAAATAAATTACCTTGAGCTTGGTACTGTACTTGATTACCTAAAAAAAAGAATTAATTAAATGTCACACTGTAAGTTAAATGCATGTTAAAAACCTTTCAAATTCCTACTTCCCTTGAAAGGAAAAATATTACTTTCAATATGTTACTTACTTCCTCCCTGGTTGATTAATAGGGCAGGGGATCCCTTAACACCCCCCCCCCAACCTGTGAAGTCTTATACACTTTGACCTTGACCTTGTAAAGAGTACCTGTTGTTTAGTGTTAAGTGTCTTGTTACTTACTTCCCAGGGTTCCTGGTCTGTTAGACGGGGCGGGGGAACCCTTACCCCCTGTGATGTCCCACACACTTTGACCTTGACCCTGTAGTTGTTCAGTATATTGTTACTTACTTCCTGGAGTCCCTGGTCTGTTAGATGGTGCGGGGGAACCCTTGCCCCCCGTGATGTCCCACACACTTTGACCTTGACCCTGTAGAGAGTCGTTCAGTGCTTTTGTGGCCTCCTGTTGTTTAGCTAGCTGTTCCTCAGCGATTCGCTTGGCTCGCTCCTCATACTTTTCTTTCTCAGATTTATCCAGATTTCTCCACTGTTAAAACAGCACAATAAAACAGTTATTAAAACTGTAGTTCGCAGATTTATACAAGAATGCATTTTCTGTTCTGGTCTACATTATTCCTGAATAATTCACAATAAATTTCACTTTTATTACTATTTGGAAACTCTATCTTATCTCTTCTTCAAATTTGTTTAATTTCTCTTGATTCTTAAATTTTCTTTATCAACATTAGTTGACTAGTTGATTTCCTTAAAAACTTTCCTAATTCTTTTGTGGCTAATTCCTGCATTTTCTCTTGAACAAAATTTTCAATTCTTTTAAAAAGAAATCTGAATCATACCACGTACAGCACATGCAAAATGATCAATCCATGCATTACAAAAAAAATGAATACCAAATAAAAATCAATATACACTAAGCACAAAAAATAAATAAACACTCGGCTACAACAATTAAATAGAACTAAAAAAATATATATATCAGAGGGAACTGTTTTATGACACAGCTTTATATAAGGAACAGGCTGCCCTTACTGACTGGCTTAGTGACGGTTTGAAATGGACCCCCGTTTTACCAAACATGCTTTAAAGGTCATTCCACACAATCTAAATCTTTATAATTTAATTTTGTCTAATTAAAGTCATATTTCTCCATCTCTTGGGAAACCAGTTATTTTCTTTCAAAAAGTATTCTTATCAATAAATCTCCATTCAAAACAAACTTGTTATGTAAATGTTTTGTGAGCAGTGGATAGAAATAAAACTAACTTAAAATCTATTTATAAACTGACAATTTTAGCTTCTGTTAGAAGAGTTAATGTTTTTTGGAAAATTACTTTTAATTACTGTGACATTTTTTTTTCACTTATTGGCATAATACCTTCTTCATTAAGAATTTACTTTTACTTCAAACAGAATTTCAAAGCACAAAATTTCTTTACTTAAGATTTATATTTATAAATACCTTCATAAACTTCATTTTTACTTCATACTTAACTCCAAGGAACAAATAAATCTGATCATATTTTCATGTTTCTTAAATCTTTTACCTAGCTGGAGAAATTGCAGCATTATAATAATGGTTAGATACTGTCTTCTTTGACTAACCCTACAGATTATGAAATTGTTTATAAATTGGCTCCTGTTTTATTACTGTGGAAGAATGATGATTTATTTTTAATTATAATTAATTGCTCCTGTTTGTATAATTACCTGTACACCCACTAATCGACTAATTTCTCCAAACGAGATGTCGGGGGATTCCGCGTTGATGATCCTACGACTTTCTTTAGAGAACAAAATATAACCACTGGGAGGACGCCATTTCCTGTTTTTCTACAAATCAACAAAACAAAAAAAAATAGCATGCGACAGTTTGACGACCATGCAGTGCTCTGTTCAGGGGTATCTGGGAGTAACTCAGTGGATAACTTACAGAACTGAAGTACTGAGTGGGGCGCGTCCAAAGTAAACACAGCCGTTAATGCACTGTAGTTAACAACTATTATGTTATTATTTGCCAATAAAGAATTTTAAATAGATTTGTACATTAGACAAAAATTAAGATAACGAACATACAGAACTTGGCCATAAGTGAGTCATAATTTTATTTTTCCACTATATATTTCATTAGGAAACACATTTTTCTGAAATATTCTTGCTTTTTAATGTCCACCATAAAATGCAGAATTTGATGTAGTTTCTTCACATTATTTCAAAATAGTTTTATCTTTATGCATTACCGTGAAATCACAGGTCAAGTGCAAAACAAAAATTTTAAGACTTCAATTTGTTAAGAAATCATAGTAATTTGAGGTTAGAAAATTTTGTCATGACAATATTTTATGATTTATTCTCAATAGTTTAAGTATCATTTTGTTTATCATTTAAGATAAGAAAATTTGAATAATTCTGCATGTTTCAGTGAAAAAATCATGAAAATTGAGCTAAAATTGACTTCACAACAAGTTTTTATGAAAATAAGTTTTTCAATGAAATATATAGTGTAAAAATAAAATTATGACTCACTTATGGCCAGGTACTGTAGTTCCTTTCCATTGAATCACAGCCCTAAGATAACAATATTAGGTCTGTAACCAATACACTTCACCAATATTCTTTTCATTTAGCATTAGCATTAGGAGGATTCTATCATATGACTAGTGGTCCTCTACAGTGCATCAATGACTGTAGTTACCCCTGAGGTACCCCTGAGTTACCCCCTGAGACCCCTGTTGTGTCTCTATCACGCTGGACATGCTTCAGTGACCACATCTACATAGTGACCACGTGTCACGTCTACCTTGCCCCCGACTATCCGGCTGATCTCTCCAAACGTACACTCCGGATTCTCTTGTTGGATTATTTTGCGGATTTCTCCTGAATATACAATGTATCCACTGATCTGACGCTTCATCGAATTCTTTCCCTAAAATTGATGTCACGCACGAGTGAACATGTATCACATGACTTGTCACAAGTCATTTATTAGCATGTAACATAAATTCAGTCACACACCAGTGAACATGTACCATGTGACTTGTCACATGTCACTCAGTACGTGATGCATGACTTCAGCAGCTTTGGCCAAAAAAAAAAACAATAAAATAATAAATATATAAACATGATAAAAGTCAAACAGTAACAGTAAACTCAGATTAACATGTAACCCCTTATTACCCCGCTCCTTGATATCTGAAACAAAACACACATTACGGGTAAATCTGACCATAAGCTGATAAATACATATTAGATATCTCAACAATAGCAGATAAATCTTGTTTTCTAAAGAATTGCTCAATGATTTTGAAAGTATCAGCTAGTATTTATATTCAATGGATAGTAAGTATGATTTGTAATCTTTTAGGTCCTTGATATTGTAACAAATAAAAATATTATTCATGTTATTATTCACAAAACAAAGAGAAAATTCCAACCCACTGCAGATAGTTGCATTATTATGTTGCTAAGAAAATATTTAAAATTTGTTTAATGTGGATGTAAACGTGCAACAGAACAGAAATTTTCAAATGAATGCATTTGTGCAAAGTAAATATGAATTTATGCAATGATTAAATTTCAACATGCCCTTGTCAAGAATAAATACAAACATTGCAAATCCTTGTTAATTTTGTTCTTTTGACAGTTAAATTATTAATTGACAGTATATAAGTTTTAAAGAAAGCATACAATTTAATGTTGGATATGCAAGTGATATTTTCTATAAATAATAGCTCTAAATGACCTATATTTTATAATGAAGATTTTTTCTAAACAAACTTTTTTTCATGAGATAACAGCTCTTAAGGTACTGTTAATTCAGAAATAACTGAGAACAAGGCAGCAACAGGCAGAAACACCCAGTAATGGTAAGAACTTCTGTCCCAAGTTTACACTGATACATGTATAAAAGATACTTGTCAATAATCAAGAATTCTTATTCTAAGTTTACACAAAATACTTGGTCTTTTATTTGTAAAAGCTATATAACAAATAACATGCTACACAAACTCGGCAGAGATGAGTAAGAAGTATGTGTTATTTAAATATACGTTAGGTAATTATTACAGCTACTGATCAGTTCACTCAGAATACAGCTAGCACAATGTTACTGTGTTATAATGAAGGACAGTGAAGCCACGATCTGACATGAATTCTGTACAGCAAGCAGATGTTACAAGGAAATCCCTGCATAATGACTTAACATAATGACTTAATATTTCTTGGTCTTTTTAAGGTTCCCTAAGTATCTTCTGTGAATCAGTGAGTCTCCTCTAGGACAGGTTGACCCAATAATTACCCCCCCCCCCCCCCCCCCCACCGCCCCCTTTCTGTCCAGGTATCTCAATTTAAAACTAGGAAATCACTTGGTTTGGGGATATAACATGTTGCATATCAACTTTGGCTACATAAATCTCACAAACACAAGCCATGACAAAGCCATTCTATTTAATTATCTAATTAACGGGATTCATGACAAAGCCATTCTATTTAATTAATATCTAATTAACGGGATTCGTCAAAATCAAGCTGGAAAACGGGCTTCTACCTTCTTTTTCTTTTCTGTTGGTTCTTCCTAAAATAGGTCACCATATGACACAAATATCTTATATATACAAGTGACTCAATACAATAAATAGGGAAAAATGGAATTGTAAAACAGAAATCTTATAAAAATGTGATGCAATAACCAAAAAAAGTCTTCTTTTCTACATCTCTATAAAGCAGATTAAGAATTTTTTTCTTTGGCAAAAAAACCAAAAAAAAAAAAAACCATAATAGCACAAAGAAAACAGCAACTGCAGTATATTAAAACTAACTTATATTAAGCTCCTTTTGAAACAGAGATTACTATAAAACACACATAAAGCAGAGTTCACTTAACAGAACTAACATGCATATATTACAAGCTCATGTTTATAAACTGCAGCAGCTTAAGGCCCTTACTCCATAACCTAAGGGAGCTAATTCCTAAGTGCAACTCTTGAGCTTAGGGACTTAAATTGATTATAATTCAGCAAAAGTTGATCCATCTGAGAATATTTGAAAGTAGAAGCACAATGTTCTTTATTTCTGAAAGGTATTTCCTCAGAAGATGAAATATTGGTACTTGCCTTGCATAATACAATTAAATTCAATAAAACATCATAATTTATAAACCTGCTTAAATCTGATAAATGATTATGTATTTAAGAAATAACCTTATAAAATCATTTAAAACAAAACAGTTATTTGAATTGTTTAAAAAGATCCTTTTTTTTCTTCATAAAAAAAATCTGATTCTTTAGTCTAAGAAATGGTCAAAATAAATTTGAAAGCCTGCAGATTTCAGAAATTGCAGAGTTAATAAATAAGTTAACAAGTTAAATGAAACTGAAAACAATAAACAGTGGGGCACCCACTAAACACACATTAAGGTGGTCTGCCCACTAAACACACATTAAGGCGGTATATACCTTCTTGGAGGTTTTTTCTGGTACAGGAGTACTGAAATCCTCGAATGTCTAAAATGAAGCAGGATTTCATAAACTCCTTATCAATTCAAAGAGAGCAATTTATGACATAAAGAAGTGCACATTATTTTCTCTCATATCTAACAAGTATGAATATTGATTATATTATAAATAAGATTTTTTTTGAAGGGATTAATAATTTTAATCAAAATTCAAAGGGCCAAAAACAATACTGTTAAGTTTATTCAGGACAAAGAAGAAAGCCTTTAAGCTGAAGTATTGACAAGACTTATGGAAGTTCTTCTTTAATTAAATGATATTACATGTATCTTTTAATTTTTCCATGTGTACTAGTGAATACTTGGATTACCTTACTGGTGGACTCTGTACTAATTTTCTACCTACCATTTTGGTGGAATTTATAATAATCTTTGACTCCAGCTTTAGGAAGTGCTGGTACTGAAATTTTTTAGTCACCTTTTGGTTTGTTTGTTGTTTAACATCCCTCTTAAGAATTTTTCATTCATATGGAGACACCACCACTTGCTGGTGGAGAGCTGCAAATTTTGTCCTATCCCTGATACTCGGCACTTTTAAAGATGTCCTTAGAACAGCGAGGGATCTTTTTTGTGCCAGCATGCACCCACTGCAACTCGTGACCTCAGTTTTAATTGTCTCCACCTCCCAAAGTGGAATTTGAACCAGCCATGTAAGGATCAACTCCTTACTTCACCACTTTAGAGCAGGCGCTCTAACCACTGAGCCAGGTGGGTGAATCACAGTTTTGGTGGACTTTAATGTACTATTTTTTTTTTTTTTTACTTTTTTGAGGCATTAGAACTGATTTTTTATATCACCTGTTTGCTGGACTTTGTACTAGTTTTTGGACTTTCATTTCTGGTAGGCTCTGTACAAATTTTGAACTCACCTGTTTGCTTGACTTTGTACTAGTTTTTGGACTCACATTTCTGCTGGACTTTGTACTAATTTTGGACTCACCTTTTTGGTGGACTTTATAGCGGGTATCTCGGGGAATCCCTGGTGACTAGCCTCTGTGTCAAATGACATGTTGGTGCTTTCATCCATCGTGTCCATTAGAGTGGAATCCTGGGAGTCGTCCATAAACGTGTCGTCCGCTGCCTTCATCAGCAGGGGAGAGGGCTCCTGCAATATAACAACAAGACATAATTGTGTCGTCTGCTGCCTTCATTAGCAGGGGAGAGGGCTCCTATTACACATTTAAACATACTGAGGGCTCAGGTAAGGCAACATGGTAAATATATCACATCTGACCTTAAATAAGGTCACCACCGTAAATATATCACATCTGACCTTAAATAAAGTCACCACCGTAAATATATCACACCTGACCTAAAATAAGGTCACCCCTGTAAATATATTACATCTGACATTAAATCAGGTCACCACTCTAAATGTATCAAACCTGGCCTTAAATGAGGTTACCCATGTAAATATATTGCATATGACCTAAAATTAGGTCCACACTTTATAGTAAATACCGTATAATCCCTGTTAACCGCCCCTACCCCTATAAGCACCCCCTTAGGTCTTTTTCAATTGTCAGGAAATAAGAGCCCCCTGTACGTGATAAAAATTAGCTAGAATTGTATGAAAAAAGTGAAGAAAGTGAAAATGAAATTTGTCTAATATCCAATTTCTAAGTTATTTCTCAGTGGAAAATGAACAATTAAGCACACTTTGGGTAGATTATCTTCACTTTAAGTAAAGTTAGACTTATCTTATATGTTTCTCATATTATTTTTATTTTCAAACAATTTTATGAAGTTAAAATATGACATTAATTATCACAAAGCGAACACCAAAATAACCGCCCCCCTTTTGCAATTTTTTAAGCACCCGGGGCGGTTAATAGGGATTATATGGTATATCACATCTGACCTTAAATAAGGTCACCACTGTAAATATACCACATCTGACCTAAAATAAGGTCACCCATGTAAATATATTGCATATGACCTAAAATTAGGTCCACACTTTATAGTAAATATATCACATCTGACCTTAAATAAGGTCACCACTGTAAATATACCACATCTGACCTAAAATAAGGTCACCCCTGTAAATATCCTGCATATGACCTAAAATTAGGTCCACACTTTATAGTAAATATATCACACCTGACCTTAAATAAGGTCACCATTGTAAGAATAACTATTAACTGGGCGGTCACCATACTAAACCAGGTTATTCCCCATTTTCAAAAGGTGAGTTATTTCCCCTGAAAGGAACTCTTTTACTGTGATTAATACGCATGCGCTATAAATAAAGTCACTTCCGCGGACGTTCTTGATGTAAACATGTTCATGGTGTAATGCCTCTGTCATATGGAAAATGTTATTGTGTTTGTGAATAAAAAGAAATCTTAACTGATTCGTATTTTTTTTAAATTGCCCACTCATAGTCTCTTTCTGGATTTATATTAATCTGTGTAGTACTATAATTAGGTGCTGTGTGAAGACCCCCCCCCCCCCCTTACAAAAAAAAAAACGAAACAAATTACTGATAAAATGCTGATACATATTCGAATAGGCCTATTTTAAAAAAAAAGCTAATAAGCTAATTTTCAGTAGTGGATGTTCTGCAGACGGATCATCATTATTTTCAAAATGTGCGGAACAAATTTTTATTTATAAAGTTTTTACGAATTAATCTAGCCAAGGCGCTTACCCCACCCCCACTTTTTTCCCAATATTACTTTTTCTATTGAAAATGTTCATTGATAGAAAGGTTGCCCCCCCCCCCCTCCCCCGCACACACACAGTTAATACTACGGTAAAGTTATATAAGGGAAAAGTATTATTGTATGCCAAGGAACTGGTACTGAAATAAGTAGCTTCTTCAACTTTAGGCAAGGTTTTTCTTTGCTTGTCAACTTTTCCAGGTAAGAAAAAAATATATTCTTTGGCTCCCCCCCCCCAGAAAGACGATGCTACGTGCCTGGCTAATTCGTATTGCTTTCTAGAAAGGGGGGGGGGGCTAATAGACCCTTTATAACATAATTCATTATCTAAAAAAATGCAAACCGTTTCCTTCTTTTAAAATTTTTAAATACAGCATGTAAGTTGATCACTATTTTGTTGGATTATCGTATATTGCGTAGTCCGCGGAAGTTAGGCTAGTGTAGAAGAGTTCCGATTTTGAGGGGAGATAACTGACTTTTGAAAATGGGGAATACAGAAATAATTTGTGTTCCTTTTTTAATATTAACCATTTATAGACTATGAGAATACAAACAAAATTAAATTATTTGTAAATATACATGTAGATAAGGGTTGGGCATGTGGTAAATTTACTTAAAACCCAAAGTGTTATCTTAAAACTTATTTTGACACTTAGGACATTCTTTAACATGCACATTAAAACCTTAAAAAGAAATGTTTTATTAATCAAAACTTTTATGTTTAATTTGTTAAACACCTCAATAAGATAAAAGTATGTCTACAGTAAATATTTTGTCATGTAATATGTAATAGTTATTGAATATATGGTGTATCCTGAGTTATTTGGACGTTATTCGTCCAAATAAATCAGGATACACTATAATAAATATTCAATAACTTTCTTGTATCATGGCCAATCAAACGTCATGTCACAGATTTTCAGCATGATTTTTAATTACACCAATAGAAAATGTAGTTTTTTTCAGGTGACCGCATGGATAATCTCTCCTTCCTGTCAGTATTTTTAAAATAAACATTTTACGTGTGTGTGTTCATGAGAAAGGATGACAGATTGCAGCATCCCAGCACTCCCCCCAAGGATTTTAGAGTGTGGTGCGAAGGGTTTTTTTCCTTGTCAACTGTTTTTGGAGGACCCCTTTCTTTTAAATGTAGCTACGGACTTAAAGTGGCCGAGGTGTGATTCTGTGCATGAGTGTTGGGGCACCGACCTGGAGCCTCCCCCCTTCAAAAATTGCTGGATCCGCCCCTGGATTGTTAATGAAATTCACAAGAAAACCTTTGGATATCAATTTGAAAGAAGAAAAATTCAAGTTGAAGAAGGTAAATTCAAGTGTTATCCGAAAATCAAGAAAAAAAGATACTCGTTGATCATTTGACATGTTCGAGAGTTGTAGTATTCACGAAAACGCTGTGTCAGGGTCAATTACTCTTCATCTGTGGATGCAGTACAGCTTAAGCCTATTTTACAATAGGTGGGATACTTAATACATTTCTGTGTGGAATTCATGTCAAGAATTTGATTTCTCGTTGCTGTGGATTGATTATTTGAAGAGCTCTGTAAAATCATTTCGTAGTTTGGGATATATACGTACTGTAATTTATGTGAAATACTTTTATTTTACTTGGCAATAATGCAGAAATTTTGCATTTGTATATTACAAAGCCCATTCATTCTGTAATTCAAATTCAATATACATGTAATTTAAAATGATGAAATGGCCTTGGTGTTCAATAATTTATTTACAGGCACAGTTTTAGCTGGCTCTGCCCATCGGTGTATCTCCAGTTATTGTACACTTGACTTCAAAGGAAAAACACCGCAGCCATGATACAAATTGTAAATTATGTTTATTATATGAACTGTTTATATGCAATGGCATTGTATTTTTTATTTATAATGCTGAATTTAATAATACTGTATTACTGAGCACACTTGACTTGGCTGATATTAGTAAATAATAAAGCATAAGATGATATAGTGCAGAGATATACAGCACTAATACATTGCAATTATTGACAGTACCCAACCCTGAACAGCAGACTCAAATATGTTAATAAGCTAGTGACCCTTAGTTTCCTTAGGTCAAAACAAAGTCTATAAAATAGGCTGAGTGTTCCTAACATTGTACAGTAATTCAAATAATTCAGGCTCCAGATCTCTCCACTCACAGATAAACAACACTGAACTGAGATGAACCTCACTCACAGAAAATCACAGCCTTCCCCAGCCATACACACACGCACACACAGAGTATTGATTGAGGATAAATACTGCCACAGATAATCTACTGCAGCAGTCTCCCCCCTCTCTACACAGCTACTGACAGACATAAGTACACCCTACCTCTACTATACAGAACCTGGTATCTGGTAACATCCTCAGCTTCAGAAATGTCGGACACACCCACCACAAACCAGGATAATGTATTCAGTCTGAATCCGTTACATCACCCAGTAATAATCTCTCTCTATTGATTTTACGGTTCTGTAGATGTTTGGGGTTTTTTATACTCCAGGATCTGAGATTTAGCACAGTAAGTAAGGTGTACCCCCTCTCTGATGGATTACTATCCCTACCCACACTTAAGGCAGGAGATGCTGAACTAGTATTGATTTAGTCAGTCTGTCTCTAACGCCAAACAAATATTGATTAATGACAGATAATACAGACTCAGCTGATGACAAGCCAGCCAGAACTCTGTCGCGCTTTAGGCTGCTTTGAATTATTGATTATCAGTTAATGCATTAAAGAGTGAGAAACCCCTTTTAATATGATTAAATATTCAGGAAATGGTTGAATTTTGAACCCAAACAAAAGCAGCAGGCAGCAGACACATGACAGATAATGCTCTCTCAGACTAGGATCAATATACTATGCACATTGTCAGGGAGACCTCTACTGCTGAGGGTGTGATGCCTCTAATCACTCTTTTTATTTTGGCCACATGGGGGATTTCTCAGCAGGTACCCAGAATAACTCTCACTGGGATTCCACTTATAAATAAACTCAGAAGATGCTACCTAATGCCCAGATTATCAGCTAGCTGTAGCAGACATTTTCTTTGTGTCATAATTCAACTTCAATCAAGTTATTCAGTAGAATACGGTAATCATCAGCTCTTCTACATAATGATCTAGTTAGTGTGTATATTATGTCAGATCTTACACTGCCCCATTCAATTTTTCCTCCCTGCTGATACGCTGATATGACAGAAAGATGCACAAGTTTCCTGCCACTTCATTTCATTTTTCTTTCATCATGTTATTGCCAACAAAGAGACACACATTTAATAAACTGACTGGCTATGGATCAAAGACTTAATGACTTGGATTTATCGATGTGTTAAATTAAAGCTGCAATTATTTTTTATCATCTCTCAACAATTTTTATGGTATAAAAATTATTAAGATAGGAAACTTCTTTTCTAAGCTATAAGGACT